AATTGTTCAACACTTAGTCCTCTTCAAATTAGTTGACCCTTGCTGTCTTGATTCACAGTGGAGACAGTGCAGAAACTCAGGCTGAGCATGAAATCATGGTGCACCTTGTAGGGCACATAAACTGTCCTGCAGGCAGTGGGCTGCTGGTGGAATGTTGTGAGCAGGGAAAGTTAATGCACATATTTTAATTTGGGAGAATTCCCACAGCTGTAGAAAAATGAAAATGGCAAATGTGCCCATTAGGATGAGAAGCACTCAGGTATAGTGGCTAAGAGCAGGAACACATGGGCCACCTGTCTAGGTTCAGTGATGAACAAGCACTCCACCAAGGGCTGTCTCTCCAGCACTTGCAATCTGATCTGGATTCAGATCTTAACTCTTATTATGTACTGCGTCTGACCTTAGGTAACTTCTCTGTCAGATTTTCGGTCTGTATGATGATCATAGTACCTAATTTATGGGATGAAATAAGTTAAAGTACATGAAGCATTTAGAACATACTGTTTACAGTTATCATCATTATGGTAATTGTAGTAATTCTGTTTAGAGATAAGAGTGGCCCAAAGTTAAGGCAGTGACATTGACGATAATGGAAGCGGTCTAATTCAGGCTGCCCAGGTGACTGAATTGACAGGAATTCATGACTGATTTCTACTGACAGTGAGTAGGGCAGGCAGAACAAGAACTGAAGATAAACATGGGATTTGGCTGGATCAGTAGAGTGGATGGTAGCTCCTGTCCCTGAAGTAAGGAAGACAATAAATCAGATGATATAAGGTGAGTTAGTCATAGGTTCACTTTCAGGTGTGTTACATTTAGGTGCCAGAGAGACATACTAGAACTATTCAGGAAACCATTGACTCAGAGGTCTGAAGATTAGAAATGTGGTATGGATTGGGAAATGGATGCGCTTTGAAGAAAATGAAGTAACTTAGAATGTGATGGAATAACAAATAGAATTCTCATAGACTCCTAAGAACACCAACTGATTGAGGTTGGACAAAGAATCATTCAGTCATAAAAAAGATCAAAACAACTTCTAGCAGAGGATATGCATGGCACTTGCATTCATTAAAACTTTGAGAAGTATTTAAGTCTGCAATTTTTATATTAGTATAGGCCAGTGTAAAGGAGAGCATGTACAGGTAGCTGATTTCATGCACTGTTATATCCGTATGGTTCTAATAGCATTTTGCTCTGGTGTGGAACGCTGGATAATCTAGTGGCTGTGATGACTGTGAATGTTGATGTCTGATGACCTATTGAAACTACTTGTCTCATTCCTTTTCTCTCACTGGGACAAAATATCTGACACCCAACATGAAGGAAGGAAAGGTGTATTTAGCTCACAGTTTGTGGAGTTTTAGGCCATACTCTGCTGGCTTCAAGACAGAGCGGCACATGGCAGAGAGCAGCAGTTCATGGCAGTGGAAAACAGCGAAGAGCAAAAGAAGAAGCAGTGGTAGCAGCCTCTCCTTTCCCTGTATTGCCTTCAGGCTGTCAGCCCAGGGCAGGTGCAGTGCTCACACCCAATCCCAGCAGCACTCACACTCACAATCCCAGCTTTGGATCATGAATTAGTCACAAACTGTAGAAGCTGCCCCATGACTGCATGAGGCTTTGGGCTGACACCTAGACACAAAACATAACAGTAGTCTTAGGTATTCAGTGACACTACTTTACCCCTCATCTTTTACCTCCATGTGTACCAGCTCCCTGCAGCCGATAGGGGAAAACCCAAAATTAGGAGAAATGACTTTTCTTCTTTGTGTGCTGTGTGCAGCTCAGCCTTAGCAACTTAGGGCCAGTATCTTGATTTTTTTAATTCACTTGCAGCATTTTCATATTAAGTACAATCTGAGGAAGAGCCAGGAGACAAATGGGAAAAACAAACACTTTGTATCTTCCGAACCTCTCTGCAGTTGCAATGCTGAGTACATTTTTTTATAGTAGTTATTTCCCAAGAAAACCTTTAGTCCCCTGTGAATGTAAGATTTCTGGCAAGATAACTTTCTACTTTGACCCTTAGAAGGGCTCATAGGTTAGACTCAAAACAAGCCTTTGCCTACTCAGGTGTGACAGACAGGGGCCTGATCTAGAAGCCCTACTTCAGGCAGGTGGCTGAAGAAAGGCTTCACAATTGTGTGATCAGGCCATGTTGCATCTTACAGTGTTGTGGGATAGGGGAAAATCGTATCGAATCTTGAAATGCCCCCCATTGGGTATATTGTCTGACCCAACTTTCCAGGGATTTGTACACTTTCATTAACTGTGTGCTATTTTATAATCACATAAAATATAGAAAACTGTTAGTAATGCAAATGAAGTTTTATTTGGTAAAATGATTTTATTATTACCCTGTAGGTATTGACTAATTTAACATCTGTTTGTAAATTAATATCCTTGATGTTAGTTTGTCTGTTCTTTGGATTTGTCTTTGAAACAGTTGTACCATCTTAATGACTTTGCTTCTTAATAATTAATTTAATAATCTGTCCCATATATACACGTGTTTTTGTATGTACACACCTAACATTTATAGAAAGACTTAAAAAATTGATTAAATAAGACTCAGGACATATGAGAACTTGTACTGTAACATCATGTGCCTCGGTAATGTCCCAAATTTTCTGATCAAGAAGATTATGGGGCCGAAGAGGAAAGTGATCGATGATGTAGAGTGTGCCTACATCATGGGGAGAAGACACTCTCTCAGGCTTTCACAGAGAGCACATTGGCCAAGCATTGGCCGTGACTCATCCACATGGCTGACACTGACAAAGGTTCTACAATCTGAGGTACAGGATCTCAGAATAAATCCTGAGGGCATTTCACTGACCTTCTCAGACCAAAAAACTACAACTCTTGTTGCACAGGTCCTGCTTTACCTTGGTCTTAACCATCCAGTAGAAAAGTATGAAGACAAAATATAGGAAGTAAAGCCATGTTGTTATGTTGAGCTGTGGGGGACTCAGGTCAATAATTTCTGACATTGCCAGTTAAACAGAAGACCCAATGTTATTATGGGCTACTGGACTCTTTTAGAATATTTTGCTGAGTTTACACACCTATAATATTCAACAATGGAACTTAAAAAAATTGGGATATAACTATGAATGTCCATTTTGTATCTGTGTATTCAAAGTGGTTGGGATAGATAAATAGTTGCATTCTCTTAATGAATAGAATGATTTGTTCTAATGGTGTTTGTAAGTAGGATCACAAGTCCGCATCTTGTACAGCAATTAACCACTAAGAAGAATATATGCAGTGTATTATTTGTTGAAACTGTACTTTCGATTTGATTTGAAACTGTCTCATTGCTATCTGTTTATCAACAAAACTTTGAAAAGAAAAAAAAAATTGATTAATATAATTGGCTCCACAGAAGAGAAAACAGGAAAGCTTGCTTTACATTGCACGGGGTTTGGATCTTTCGAATTTTGTATTATATGCTTATATCATTGAAATAAATAATTTGTCAAAATTTATTTTTGAGTTCTCTAAAATCAGTTCTTAGCCATACTCACTAAATTCACTTCTGAAATAACTTACTATAGAGACTTTGTCTCTAAATAAAGTACTAGTAGATGACATATTTAAGGCTTTACTTCTGTATTCTTTAAAAGTTTTAAGCTTTACTTTCCTAGATAGACCATAGTATAAAAGTGGTGGTCAGATGGTGCTAATTCTGTTACTAGCCTGTTAAGGAATCATAATCTTAGCGTGGCACGAGTTGCCGACCTGTTAGTCTAATTTTCACTTCTCCTCAGCTCTCCTTACCTCTTCTCCAGCTTGGAAAGTCATAGCTCCCACATCTAATTAGAGGCAGCAGCGCTCCTTCTATGCTAGTGGTGCTCAGGCTTAGATGCCTACAGTGACCTGAAATACTTTTAGAAAATTCAAATGCCCAGACCAGTTAACACAGAGACATCAATATTGACCTGAAATACTTTTAGAAAATTCAAATGCCCAGACCAGTTAACACAGAGACATCAATATTTTTAAAAATTCATTGAATTGATGCTAATATAGAGAAATACTGCTTTATGAAAGGAATGGTACTGGTTAGCAAAAAGTAAATATACTATATATCAGAAGTAAAAGCACTCAGGATTTCTGATGGAATGTTCTCCATAAGTAATGAAAAGGGCCCAAATTTAGAGATGGGTACCCTTTACTGAATATCCACATATACAGAATCTGTTTTTACTTGTGCTACCCTCAGGTGGGACAAACTAGGTATTAGATTTTAAACTAGGTATTGTTTAAAAACCCAAACTGATTGGTTATACCTATTACAGTTTTACATAATTTTGAATTCAGCTAAATTCTCAATGAATAGAAAACACTGAATTGAAGCTGAGTGTAGTGGGACATCCCTGTGATCCCAGCACTCAGAAGGCTGAGCAAGGAGGATTGTTGTGAGTTCAAGGCCAGCCTGGACTACATAGCAAGACCTTGGAGAGAGAGAGAGAGCGAGAGTGAGAGAGAGCGAGCGAGTGCTGAACTTGGCTTCTTGAGTGAATATTCCCATGCTGTCCCTCTTCCATTTGGGGCACAAAAATTATGATGATATTTATCCAGTGTCACATTGTACAGCTGCATAGCTGACTAAAAGTCTTATTTGTCATACAACAACGTGATCTATTAAGTGTTTTAATCAAGTATCCTAGAAGCTCATTGCTCTAACTCTTTAATATATATCATTTGGAGGTCTTTGATAGAGAGTTACATTTATAAAGATAAGTTAAAAAGGTATCCATATATTTTGGAATAGTAAGATGAAGAAATGCTTATTGTTTTGGTATTTCCTTCCATTCCATCCTGAAATACATCTTCTAATAAGAACTCCTAATGGATGACCTGCTTGTATTTCACATTGTTAACTGTTTTATTTGGCCTCAGCTTTTTAACACACATGAATGTTTATATCATAAACTCTGCTGTGGTGGTCTACCTTTGTGTACTTACTGTATATCCCCCTCCCTTTTGTATAGGAAGACAGAGATGTCAATAACCCCATGCCTAACCGAGGAGGCAATGGACTAGCTCCCGGGGATGACAGATTCAAACCTGTGGTGCCATGGCCTCATGTGGAAGGAGTAGAAGTGGACTTAGAGTCTATTAGAAGAAAAAACAAGGCCAAAAATGAACAGGAACACCATGCTGGCGGAGATTCCCAAAAAGACATAATACAGAGGCAATATCTCACATTTAAGCCTCAGACGTTCACCTACCATGATCCTGTGCTACGCCCCGGGATCCTCGGTAACTTTGAACCCAAAGAACCTGAACCTCAAGGAGTGGTTGGCGGCCCTGGAGAGAAAGCCAAGCCATTGGTTTTGGGATCAGAATTCAAACATGCAGTTCAAGCCAGCATTAAGGAATTTGGATTTAACATGGTGGCAAGTGACATGATCTCACTGGACCGCAGCGTCAATGACTTACGACAAGAAGAGTAAGCGCACTTCCTCTTCTTTCTAAAACTGGGGCAACTACTGTTTAGATATGTACTTAAATTTAATGAGACTTATAGGAATGGAGAAAACATTTATGCCTTTATTTCAGTGAAATTGAAGGACCTTTGGCTGACAAAATGGTCAGAAAAAGGGGGGCCCTCCATTTCCCCCATCATATTGAAGGTACATTGTGTAAAGTTCTGGAGTTTTCTGCATCCATGGATGCTACCCAAACAAAGTGTGGTCCACAGACTAGCATCAGTCTATGAGATATTTTTTTCTTTCCAGGGCACAGTGAGACAATGAACTTGTACTAGAGTGCAAGTAAGCTGCACTAGTAAATGTTTTGCTTCGTTCAATGGACAGTTGTTTAGGACTTCCTCAGTGTACTCACTTTTATTCCAGAGCAAGCACGTTCTTTGTCTTGCTGTTGTGCAGGAGCAAGTACTGTCGTAAACAGTGCTCTGGGTGTTTCATAGGAGTAGCTGTGCCTACGTTTCCTTTATGTTTTTCTTAGTACTGAACCCAGAAATTGAAAAACTTGAGAATGCTCAAAAGGAACCTGGAGACAGATAAAACTGTAGTCTCCACTTTCCCATTCTTTACATCTTGTCTGATTTTAATGAAAGATTCACAAATCTTTAACTTTCGTGATTACTGAGTGAACTCAAAGCTTTTCTCTTTCGGTTTATTCAGTAACTGATTCTACCTCTGTAGAATTTAAATAACTTGCATTAAAATAGACGCAAATTTAATTCACCACTACTAGAAAATTTCCCAGATGTATTCCTAGTGATATACTGTTAGCATAATCTTTTGAAAAGTGTGACCCCTCAAGGGCACACACCCACATACTCACCCACAAGCACACCTGCATGCACGCGCCAGCATTCTTGGTGACCACTGAGTGGAATTCCATGTCTGATATGGTGCCACTCTATAGATTGGGCCTTGGTTTACTGGTGTGAGTGAGACAGGAGGGCTAAAGTCACTTCATAGAGTAGTAACGGAAGTATAGTATCCTGAGGATGGGAGATGTGATAGCTTACACAGTGAAGAGTTAGCTTCTCACAGGGCTGTGAAGGAAAAATCTGGGAATAATGTATTCCTAGTACAAGCTTGCCTACTCATAAAGGTGCCAGATTTAGTAAATAAAAACCAAGGCACCTGATTAAATTTGAACTTAAGATAGTGAAAAAAATTTAGTATAACTATGCCTTAAATATTGTGTGGAATATATTGTTCATATAGTTTTTTTTGTTGTTGTTATTTATGTGGAACTGAATATGCTATGCTTAAACTGAATGATGTATATTTTATCTGGCAGTGGTTACTACAGTTAGAATTTATATATTAAATATAACTGCATGTGAGTATCCATTAGGACTCAAATCTAAAGTGTGTCTTACTTACATTAAAATGGCAGTCATATACTCTGTGCAGAGTGCTCTGTATTCTCTTAGACACTTGTGAACTGATGGCTTTCATGTCACTGTAATGAGAAGGAAGGGAAGAGAAGGAAAGAAAAGGGAAGGGGACAAAGTAGAGCAAGAGGCTACCACTTATTTACTACCTTTTGCATTCTGTGATTTACTATAAATTATTGAATCCTCCCAATGGAATTGCGAGAGAATCTTTTCCTGTGTATGTAGAGTCCGAGGCTCAGACTTGTGACTTCTTGGTAGAGACCTAGAAAACCGCCAGAGCTGCAATTCACCTGTGGGTGGTTTGGGGTGAAGACCCTCTTTCTGCTGCATCGCATCTAAGGTATCAACAGTGTGCCTCAGAGCAGGTGTCCCAGTGGGAGGTTGCTTAGCAGTGTGCAGATGGAGATTTCAGCATGTGAGCTACTTAGCAAACTGTACGTCATTTCCAACAGCAGTATAAATGTAGCTTAAGTTTGCATTATAAGAAATGCACTATGAACGTGAAATGGTGTACAAGACTTAGAGCTGGGTAGAGGACTCAGGGACACCCCTGCCCCTCCTTTTCTGCCACTGTCATATCCAGTTGTTCAGCAGGGTTTCTGCTTTCTGCCACCAAAATTTATCTCAGATCCCTTCTGAGTTCCATTTCGTGTATCTCCACGGCGACCACCTCTGTCTGAGTAAGCACCGAAGCCTCCAAAACTTTCTTTCTTGGTCTTTCCACTTACTGTTCTTGCCGCCTACTTCCTGTTATATGTTCATACAGAGAGTAGGGTGATCCTTTAGAAGCGCAAATGTGGTCTAAAACCCTTCTGTGTCTTCCCAATGCACTTAAAGCCCAGACTCCTAAGCTGCAGCAGCAGCCCCTGCACTGTGACCCAGCATGGCAAGCGTTCCCTGCAGCCCTCCCTTCGCTGCTGTGCTGGTTGCCCGGGGCATCCTGGCTGTGGTGTCTGTTTCAAGTCTGCGTCCCTCCTCTGTGGATGCTGTTCTTACTGCTGACTCTTTCCAACCCTTTCTTCTCAGCTGGGTCTCACTAACCATGCTCACCTAGTAGTGTCCCACGGTATTTTCAGTTACTATTCTGGCCATTTTGTTCATCATATATATTAAACTTTATACTGAGATACTGGTTTATTTAATTGGGTACTGACTGCTTTTCTCATTGGGTGATGAACTCATAAAGTTAAGGACTATATCTGTTTTCCTTACTGGGCACTCCCAGTAACAACTGACACATAGCTCAGTAGTAGTGTTGGTTGGTGAAGGAATGTGTGTGTGTGTGTGTGTGTGTGTGTGTGAAGACTGCCAATGTGCAGCAGACTGGCCTTGTCCCAGGTCCCAGGTTCCTGCCCCAGGTGCCACCTGTGGAGGAACCAGCCACCCTCTAGCTTTCCCCACCCAGGATACCACTTGCTGGGACCTAGTTCGCTCCTAGTTTGTTCCCTGATCCCAGGTACAAATGAGGCTGAAAGACAAAGAGATAAAGTTAGTTTAACATATGGGCAGCCAGGAAGCTGGGCAGCCAGCCGGGCAGCTGGGCAGTCAGGAAGCCAGCCGGGCAGCCAGGGAACACTTGCCTTAGGTCAGCAGAGGAGTCCCAAGCCTCCAGCTCCTCCTCCTCTTACTCACTTAGACAAGAGTACCAGCAATTAAAGTAACACAACATTCACATGTCTTATTTTATCCTTTTATGCACGCTTAGGCAGACAACTTAAGTCTCAGCTGTGTCAACTTTCCCTGGAACCTGCAATATGGATCATCCCTGTGTGTGTCCTTGCTCCTTTGTGCTCACAGAAGAGGCCAATTAGGCCTCAGTTCACCTCTGGTCTCCGACACCAGGGTTGAGCTTCTGGTTCCTTTACCTGCTGAGAGATCTTTGACCTGTTACTTCTGTTCGGTAGCCTCAGTTACCTGGTCCTTGAACTGGAAAAATAACAATAATAGCCATACTCTCAGGATTGGCATCCGCACTAGGTGACAGTACATCAAACGTCTTGCATAGCAACTCCAGTATTACTGACTCCCTTCAGTTCTTTATTGTCAACATTTAAATATCTTCAGTTACTATTTAACTTTGATATGCTCTATTGCTTTTTGAGAGACTTAAATGTCACATAATGCCTTGTATGTTCATCTTGTTTCTACTTGTAGCTTCTGTGGTGGAAAAGCTTTCATGTCTCTTCAAACTTTTCACACCAGTTGCCATCCAAGCCTCCTGTTTGTGCGCCCTCCTTGTAGTCCTGCAGTTTCTCCCCTGCCTTCTTCCTTTCCTTCTTTCTCTTGTTTTCCCCTCCTTTCATTTCTTTTTTTTTTTTCTTTTCTCCTTCTACCTTCTCTCCCTTCTTTCATGCCTTTCATAGGCCAGTTGTTTCCCATATGCTTTGCTCTGGTGCGTTACCTACAAATGGAAGTTGTGTCTTTCTCAGCATAACTCCTGTAAGTACCATGTCTCCAATTAAATAAAAGTATCCCAGACTATCTCAGCACATGGTCTCATACCTTTCTTTGAAATTCTCTATTTGTTTTACAACTCTCTCTTTTAAAAAATATTTCAAGGGTTGAAGATGTAGCCCAGTGGTAAAGCACATTCCAGGCCCTGGGTTTGATCCCCAGCATAGAAAGCAAGAAAGAAAATCTTCAAAGAACTCAAAAGTCTTGGAAAAGCTGAAGTGTTTTTCACACTTTTAAAAAAGCAAAATAAGCTTCATTCCCTTTGGATACTTAAAAAATTCCCTGTAAGCCAGTTACAGTGGTATCAGTCTATAATGATAGCTATTCAAGAGGTCAAGACAGGGCAATTGTGAGTTCAAGGCCAGCCTCAGCAACTTAGTAAGACCCTGTCTCAAAAAAGTAAAGTGAAATTTAAAAATTCAATGTAGAGCATAACAAGAAGTGTTTTGATTTTGCTTGCTTGTTTGTTTTGGTGTGTGTGATATTGAGGACTGAATGCAGCACCTTCTCCCTGAGCAACCTCCCCAGCCATTTTTGTTCCCCTTGAGACAGTCTTACTAAGTTGCTAAATTGCCCAGGCTGGGATTGAATTAGTAGTGCTCCTGTCAGCATACCAGAGTCCTGGGATTATAGGTTTGCACCACACTGCATCCAGAATAATAATTTTAAGTATTTTCATTAATTAGAATAAGAGCAATCTCACAAATTTTCTCTAAAATTCCATAAATGAATAGCTCTCCAGGTTTTCTGCTTTTGCCAGCTGCGTATCAAAAGCATACCATACATTCTAATTTCATGCATACAGCCTCCCTTGGGAGAGTGAGTGAGTGAGTGATTTGACTTTTTGAGATAAGGTTTCACTGTGCAATTCAGGCTGGCCCTGAGTCCACTTTGGAGACCAGGCTGGCCTTGAACTTGTAGAGATCCTCTTGCCTCAGTCTCCCAAGTGCTGGGATTATAGGCGTGTGCTACCATGCCTGGGTTCTGCAGCTTTATACAGTCTGCACAGCTTGGTTCTCTTGCGTCGTCAGCCGCATAAATGAGCCACGTGCAAGGTTTAGCAACCAGACTTCAGGGTGTTGGTCCAGCTGTGGCATCCGGCACCGTGGTTAGCACAT